TGGCTGTCCCTCTAGTTTTACCCTCTACTTTTTGGACAACTAAGTTGTCAGCTAAGTTGTCATATACATTAAGAATCTGTAGATTCAGCTGGGCTTCTCACCAATTTAAAAATAACTGTTCAGGTGGTATAAAAACCCCTGGATTTTAGAGATCAGCTCCAAATTAGAATAAACAGGGACCAGGGAATTAGCAAATTTAAATGTAACCTCTGTCAGGTGGGGCTGATGGGAATTGGGGTCCAACAGCTTCTGGAATCTAGTATTTACTTACTGCTGGAATAAACAATACTAGGTTGAGTCTTAGCTGTAAATTCCTATGTACCAGAGATCTCAATTTGTCTCTCTTTTTCTCTGACATAAATCACCCATTAATTATAAGAATCCTATTTAACTGAGCTAGAAAATATGCCTTTTGAACCGAAGGGGTTAAACTGAATAAGTAAATAATAAACAAGAACAGTTTTTCTAAGATCAAATGCCAGGTGTCCATGATACTTTACATGAATTATTCCAAGCTCTTCTTATGTTCGATACAATATCCATTAGAATTAGCCAGAGACTGCTTGTTTCAAATAAGAAGAGAGAGGGCAGCCATTCTTATTTTACTAACCTTGTGATCTCTTGTGCTAGTGTGCAGCATGAAGGGAAATATCAAATTGAAAGGAACACATTAGCTAACTAGTAACGTGAAAATCAATGCCGTGAAGATGGCCCATAGCAGTTATATGAATTGTACTGAAGAAGAAAAAGATTTTCTATATGTAAATTGAAACATTGCAAACTGATTGCGGATTTTGTGGAGGTGGTAAGGGTGGGAGAAAGAGAAGAAAGTGTTGATGGGGAAAATGTTCCTTTTTAAACTCCATTTCTAATTCTTGTAATATTAAACAACATCCGGAACTAACTGAAAAAGTCGCTGGAGGGTACATACAGTTAAAACAGGCTTGGAGTATCTTTTGAGCTTTTTTATTTGCACTAAGGACTTGGTTTCACCATGCATTCTATAAGCATGAGGCACTGCATATTTAAGCATGCAGCTAATACATTTGAGCCAGGCCTTAAAATCTGCAGTGTGAAAACAAAAGAATGATTTTACACAATTGGGAGTTTGGAAATGAAAAAGTTATGACTTGTGTCCTTAAAAGAAATATTAAATATTAAAAATAAGATTTCCCTTAGTAAACTATCTTTATAATCTCATATAATTTTCATTGCAAGACTAACTAGCCAATGTTGTTGACTAATTCTGTTAAACTATATTTAAGGCTTATTCTCACAACCTAGTTCCTATGGCACAAATACTGTGCAGGCTATTTTTGAGGGACATGTCTTCATGACATTATCTTCTACTCATTATCGCCCCTCCACTGAAACAGCTTCAAGTCATCTTTAGCTGTTCTGGTTTGGAGTGGTGTCCTGACCCCGATCTCTCATGTGGAAAATATAGGCTATCTTAAGGATGAGTTGGGGATGTCATTGCTTATCTCCAATTACTCCGTTAAGTTCACTGTGAGAATATCCCTTCCATGACCAGTCACTAGGCACAACTTCTATGGCCATTTTGGCTTTGGCTTTGAGAAAGACCTTGTCTTTGCATCATATTTCTCTTTTTGATATGACTATCAAAGTCATGGTAGACTGAATGCAGATCTTCAAGAGATTAAGATCAATGATGCTTAAAAAGTCTACCATTTCTAGTCTGGGTTTTTTTCTGAATATGTGATGAATCACAGTTTTAATGATCTCAGCAGCACAGTCCATACAAGAACTGATGTCCACCATGGTTGGAAGGCATCAAGGCTGATCAAAATAACAAAATTATTTCAGGTCCAGAGATTGGCAGGGCCAGTGTTTGTGATGATGTGATGAGTTGGTCTTCATTTCTGAGGTAGCAGGAAAGAGAAAGTATTTAGGGAAGATGTATTCTTGTGATGGAGGAGACCTGAAAGCAGCCAAAAGTTGTCTTTCAAGTAAAAAGATAAAACCAAAAACACATTCTTCAAAACATAAAATACAAAAGACCAAATTCTACCTATCACACTTTGAAACAGATTCAGGAAGGTGAGTTGTTTTTAGTAATGAACAGCTGATCAGGAAAGGCAAGGACTCATTTTCAGGAGAAGGCACAAATGGGAGAAGAAAGAAATTAGACAAGTGTAAAACCAGAAAAGGCCATAAAAATAAAACAATAATAAATGTAAGTTTTAAAATAATAAAAAAGAGGAAAGATTCATAGCTGCTGGGAGAAATCTGATTTGAAATGAAACAATCCAGAAGACAAGCTCAGGATCCAAAAAATTCCTGACAGACTTGCACAATGGACCCTATCCAATAACATGAAATTTAATGTGGAAAAAAAACAAGGTTTTACACTTAGGCAGAAAGAAACCAAAGGTGCAAGTACAAATTAGGTGAAACCTGATTCAACAAATGCCCACGGTATACATATCAAGACTCCAAGATTCCTAAGCTAAAATTCCTTTCTCACTGTAATAAAATTGTCTACTCTAGTTCTGTGAGAAACTTGTCTTTTTGATTGCAAGATGCTTGACACAAATGTTCAGGAAAGCAATTGGTGGTGGTTAGTTTTCCATGACGTGACATTGAGTCTAGAACCCATCAGACACCACTCTGAAAGTATTTCATATTAGACTGTGTGTGTGGGTAGCATCATTGCCTGATTTCTTTGCTGAGATGTGATAATGATGGGTTATGGGGGCAGCACAGTTTACATAGAAATAACTCCTGACTCAAGAATGTGAGGAAAGTGTGTTAATGTGGCCTTTTAACAGTACATGTAAATATACAGCTATCATAGACTGCAAAAGAAATATGAAATATGACTATATCATGGTATATCTATTCACACTATATGTACATGTAAACAATTCTTCTTCTTCAAAGTAATTGGATTGTAACTCTCATGAGCAACTTAGCCTGGAAGCTTCAGAAATTCCCTTAAACCACATTTTGCAAAGGCCATGTTCATTAACACAGCTGTTGTAAGTAATGGTACCCAGTTGATCTATACTATTAGCATTTCAAGAATCCTGCTGTTTTACTAAAAGCACTGATTCTTTTTAAAAATTTCAGTATGAGCAAAATAAAATTTAGATTGGAAAACAATACAAAAGATAAGCTGAAATCAAAAGTAATAGGCACAATACATTCATTCTTTTGACTCTTCAATAGCTCTACAAACATAAATCTTGTATTTGTCTTGGCATAACTGGAAACACAATGTCTTGCAGCAAAAAGTCCAAAGTTTTCATGAGCAATGAAACAATTCCTCAGTCTTTAAAGAAACCAATTCTTCTATAACCTTTGATCAGAAGGCTGGCCAGATTTATGTTCCAATCTTTAACTTTCATGGAGGTACAGAGTTTTAAAATCAACTAAAGGTTAAGAAACTTTTGGCCCAAACCAGGCGTGTCTGCAGGGTGTACTAAAAATATCAAGGTGGCAACCATGATGGGTGCAATCAAATCTCTGACTGATTTTACATCAATCAATGTATACAGATATGTATCAATGAATGTACTGATACATACCCTGAGGATACCCCTGTTCCCATTTTCCCTCTATAGTTGGTAGGAAATGTAAAAATGGTGTGATTTAAGTTTAATACATGACCTCACAGGAAAGCCACCTTCCCAGTCATGATGTACCTTTGGTTCCAACTTCCATTATCCCATTCGACCATCACAAAAGAGCTTGTAATCAAAGAAAAATATGTCAATTCCATCTATTTTGATTCTCAGTCGCCTGAAGATGAACCTGCCCAAAACAATTGCTCCCAAATAAGTCTGAATAATTTACATTTGCGTATATTTCAGAAACACATAAAAACTGCTCTAATACAAGCATTATATAGCACACTGTAATATATCATACACGATATGCATATATACAACTGTATTAACTGATAATATAACATTATACAATACAAAATAAATATGATGCTTGCCTAAAAGTATCCAAAGCAGGACAGCAAACTGCAGTCCCCACTTTCATTCAAGGTCAGTCATTTTGATCCTGATATACACAAGCCATTGTCCTTCTCTCTGCTACTATAAATGGCTTCCAAACACATCAAGCTAAAGCAAGACCCAAAGGCTGCAGTTCAGAATGGGCCTACCCACAACCACTTATACTGCATACAGTGGAATTTTTTATTTATTTGAATAGGAAAGGCAAAAAGATATAAGTATCTCTCAGTTCTCAATTCTAAGCTGCCAGACTATAACAAACAGGGCACTAGAAATATTAGAGTGCTGAATTGTTGGAAGTGTTTTGAATAAATCTTAGGATTGCACTATAAATGACTAACAAATAGCTAGCTTTTCACAACACCCGCAGTCAGCTACCTAAAGGATCATTTCAGTTTGTTCAGCCTCCAATTAAAATGAAACAAATTCTCATGTAACTGTTTAGGATTTTAGTCTTGGGAATGAATTCTTCCCTGTACAGTCATATAAAGCCAGTTCTGTGATATGATCTCCTGCTGTTTATTTTACTTATTTAATTCTTAGAAAAGCATTACAAAGTCTGTCCCACTTCTCCAGAGATGTATCACCATAAATCCATCAAGTCCAAGAAAATGGATTCAGAATTTTTTAAAACAAACAAACAAACAAACAAAAGACTGCTTTCTCGTTAAGCCTATTTTGGGAACAAGATGGAAAAAATTGTCCCCCTGTGACACTAAGAAAAATTCACCAGATTGAGTCACATTTTCTATTACATTTTTTCAGGCAATTCATTCAATCCTTATTTAAAATTGGGCACCATTCATTGATGCTTTAGAAAAAAATAACAGCCGATTCCTCTGTATTGGAGGTGATTGTTTCATGTTCAATCCATAGGTATGCTTTTGTGGACATTAATTGAATTTGTAGCTTAGAAAAGACACCTGGAATTCCCTTCATAAAAGCATAATGGTGATTATTATGAAATGCTTAATTGCTATCCTTCTTTACAGCTATTTTTATTTTGCTTACCATGGATTCGCTGATCAGGAGGAGGAGGAGAGCTTCTTCAACGTTGTCATGGGGGCTATAGATGCTGAAAGACAAACAGGCTTTTTCAAAATATAAGCAACAATAAGAATTATGCTCATGGGAGACTCTTGTTAATAGCACCACAGGATTAGTAATGTGAAACATCTCATGCATGATTAATTTGTTATATAATCGTTTCTTCAGACTGGAATGACTAAAAGCTATAGAGGAGATAACTCATCTGTGACGAGGGAGAGCAAATGATTGGTCAAAAACTCTTTATTCAGGAAACAGTTTAGCTCCTGGGCGTTCTGACAGCATTGAATCTAAAGCATTTGGGCCCAGATTGCCTGCACATGGATCAGCTTATGAGAACCTTGCAACTGAGGGATGATCCTTCAGAAAGAGCTGGTTGATTGATGAATTCCAGGACCTTCTCTGATTTGGCCCCCTCGTATTTCCAGCAAGATATGTGTGGCATTATCTCTATTAATATGACTGAGTCTTTCATTTTAGGATATCTACTACTCAATAACACTGGCAAACTTCCATTTGCCCTTCTCTGTTCAATTGACCTATTAATGTAAGGGAATTTTAAAAGCCTTTAAAAATTAATTTTCATAATTATTTTACTTTCTGGTGTTACTCTGTATAGTTATATATTTTACATAGGATGATTTACTTAGTATTTGTACTATGAACTGAAACCTACCCCAAAGAGCAGGTATTAAATTGATTTAAAATTCCAGATACAGAATGTAGCTTATTTTTTTTTCTAAAACTATTATTACCAGAGACCTCTAACAGAAGACCTGGCTATTATTTCTAATTAATAGCTCTCTTCCCCTTCAGTAGTTAAGATGTTTTTAAAATTCTGTAAGCTCCTAGGTCCGTACTTATCTCCAGCGTGTTGCTGTAGTTTTCGACGTAAGGTGGTACAAATATAAGCATTGTCCTCTTTCTTCATGAACTCGGGAAGTGGGTCAGATAAGGGACTCCAGTAACAATCTTCACTTAGGGAGTGGAGGAGCAGCTCTGCCAGTTGTTTGGTAGCTGTCTGGTGAAGAATTGAAAGAAATTGAAAAATACATTTTTAAAAACTCAAAAGACAGATTTCATCTTATGCTATGAGCCAGTGCAAAACACAGGATGCATTGAGTTGCATAAGAAGGAATAAACAATTGTAAGTACTATATTGCGGAAGGGAGCTCTAAAGAGGCCAACACAATAATTTCTGCTCTGTGCTTGTAGGTGTTAGTATGTGTACCTTATATGTTTGTATTTAGGCTTTTTATGGCCCTTCAGTACAGACAACAATGGGAAATGTTTGAAAATGGAACTTTCCTCTAAAAACATCTACTTTCTGTCTTCTCAGTGGATGTTTTCTTTATTGCACAGTTCAACACTCATATTGACCTAAGTGCTAGAGCCCACTGTAACTACATAGCCAAAAAGGCATTAAGAGTTGTTAATTTAATCCTACGTAGCTTCTTCTACTAACTAGAGCATACAAAACATTTGCTAGACCTATACTTGAATACAGCTCATCAGTCTGGAACCCATATCATGTATCTGATATTAACACAATTGAAAAAGTCCAGAAATATTTCACAAGAAGAGTTCTCCGCTCCTCTACTCTACTCTAGACCTAGAAAACCTAGAACTATGCCGCCTCTGGTCCAATCTAAATATAGTATATAAAATCATACATTGCAATGTCCTACCTGCAAATGAATACTTCAGCTTCAATCATAACAATACAAGATCACACAATAGATACAAACTCAAGGTTAACCGCACCAAACTTGACTGCAGAAAATATGACTTCAGCAACAGAGTGGTCAATGTTTGGAATACTCTACCTGACTCTGTGGTTTCTTCCCCAACCCCCCAAAACTTTAACCTCACCCCCTTCCTAAAAGGCCTGTAAGGGGCGCACACAAGCACACCAATCGTGCCTACCGTCCCTGTCCTATTGTTTTTTATTTTTTTTATAAGTATCTATCTCATGTATTCAAAACTATATTTATTCTTATTCCTGTATCTTGTAAGAGATTGACAAATCAAATAAATACTAAACATATTAAATAGTTTGTTTCACTTTTGTTATGAATAACACCAGGCAAAAAGTAACTCCATATTTTATTTATATCAGCTTCTGGCAAAGCAAAGAAGAAAAAGCATTTTTCTGCTTAGAATACATTTTCTGGTCACAAGTGAAATTTACACACTGCCATTCAACATTCCAAATTAATTAACTTAGAAATTTTGGCAGGTTAATTCTACTTCAAAACTTTTATATCTATTACATTAAAAACAAATTATTAAAAGTATTGGTAGCACAATGCAAGAATACAAGATTTTATCCTTCCAGGGCATATTAAAAATCAGAAATAATGATACTGTTAATACATTATGGTAAAGGTGATTATACTCAAATGTCACAATGCAACTCAGCATTGTACTGCACTTTTCCCTTCCAGCTTAGTCCAGGAGAAAATATTAGATTTTTTGGCTTTCATTTTGTATTAAGCACAATAAAGGGTACCTCTGAATGTTAAGTTGTGATTTTTAACAATAATTAGGACTTAATCCTCTGATTGCCTCGGCTATTTTTCTCACTGCATCTACAAGTTCCATTGATTCCTTGATTATCTCATCCATAAAACTGGACAATCATTTTGGTTCCTCTGCCTCCAGCTATAATACTGACCATCCCGATGATCCTTCAGCTACAGCATATTTTATGCTTACCAATCTACCAAGTGGTAGTCAGTGGACTTCAATCACAAGCTGGTCCTCAAATGCCATCAGTTGATGCTCTTTGAATAGATGTGACCCACATTTCTTGTGTGTGAATGTGGTGTACTTGGTCCATGTGCATTTAAGAGACATTTGGGCTGTAATAGAACCCTTTGCCCTTCACTATTCCATTAGTGTGAGGGATCACTGTCTTAGTTTCAGTACTATAGTTTTGGTACTATAGCATAACTAAAAAAAAATCCAAGAATGAGCAACCTGGTTGTGACTGGGGGCTACACAGGCCACAAAGTTGTGGGGGACAAGTATGGCACCACACAGCATTCTTGGACACGATAGCACAGCTCCAATTTGCATGCCTCCACGTATTCAGCCTTCCATCCCAGAATTCCCTAGTGTGGAAATTGCTCAAAATTCTGGGAATTGTAAGGAACATCTCTTAAGGGAGCTAAAACCCTTTTGAAGAACAGGTAGGGAAAATGTTTGCAATAATCACTATTTACAAACATTGGGGCAAGAACAATAGTTGAGGTCTGAGAAATGGACAAGATTTGGGATTTTATTTTTTTAATCCTGGTTAAGCCCATTATTGCAAGCATGATATTAGAGTCTACATTATGAAGGGAGGGGCAGTGACAGTCGTGTCACAAAAAGAACCCATGCTTGTGTTAAAGCTTTATTTTTTTAAGAAACGGGGTGACCCTTTAGCTCTGAAAGGGGGGTGGTATTCTGTTCCCTCAAGAAGCCATCACTGGACCTAATCATCCTGGACAATTTTCCTCTTTTTAGGAAAGGTTGTTGAGAAGGTGATCCGATAAGAGCTCCAGAGAACTCTCTAAGAAATAGAGTTTCATGTCACTACCCACAATATCCTTCTGTACAGAATGAAGGAACTGAGAGGGGGAGACACCACATTGTGGTGTTATTCTGGTTCTTCTTTCACTGAGGCCAATCGGCATTGATGGAGGAGAAGAAATCAAATATATGGCCCATTGCTGGTGGGGTGCCACAGAGTTTGACACTTTCTCTCTGCCTGAAAAGACCAAGTAACTATGAATATTTCAGCCCTCTGGTCTCAAGGTCTCCATCTTGGATGGAAGCTGCATTATTATTATTATTATTATTATTATTATTATTATTATTATTATTAT